AGAAAATAAAGATTTGCTGCCTATATAACAGAAAGGGTACTGCAAAAATTCAAGAGAAACCAAAGACCAACTGATGATTGATAAACTGGTTTTGAAGAATTCAAAGAAAAGACAAACATATTTGTTCATGGCTAGGATTGATTATAAGAAAGCATTTGATTCTGTTCCACACAGCTGGACTGAGAAATAATTAGACATTTTGGAATTAGCATCAACATTCAGAAATTCCTGAAGACTTCCATGAAGCTATGCCACATTAAGTTGATGGCCTGTGGAGAAGAACTTGATGAAGTTGAAATTAAACAAGGAATATTCCAAGGCGATTCATTGTCATCTCTGTTATTTGTACTTTGGCTGGCGCCACTAACAAGCATTTTGAACAAAGCCAACTGTGATAATGAATTGGCAAAAAAAAAAAAAAAGGGTTTGCTTTACTTGGATGATTTAAACTGTTTGGAAAAATAAAATCTAAATTGAGCTCACTGCTGAAAAGCACTGAGTTTAGCAGAGACTTTGAAATACAATTTGGCATTGACAAATGTACAACAATAGCCATTAAGGCAGGAAAAATGTTGAAGATGATGGATTTGAACTTGACAATGAAGAGTTGAAAAAAGCAATAACACCAGAAGAAGGATACAAGTACTTAGGAGTCTTGGAAGCCTCTGATCTGTTGCACTAATCAAGTCAAGAAAGCTATTTCAACAAAATACATAAATCGAGTATGGAAAATCTTGAGATCAAAGCTAACTGGAGGAAATATCATAAAGACAATTAACACCTGGGCAGTGCCTGCAATACGATACTCAGCTGGAATAATTGATCATACTCAGCTAGAATTTGATAACTTGGATCTAAAGACAAGAAAACTAATGATAATGCAGTCTCTGCACACAAATAGTGATGTTGATAAATTATACTTGCCTAAATCTCAGGGTGGCAGAGGCCTCTTACAGGTGAAACAAACTGTGGAAGAGGAAAAACACAACTTAAATGACTATATTAAAAAAACAATATGTAGTATATATGTGTGTATTTTTGGGGGACATGATGGCTCAGTGGTTAAAGATGCTGAAGCTGGGTTTGAGATCTGATTGGTGCAGGAGAGAGTGAGCTCCTGTTTCAGTGCCCCAGCTCCTGCCCACCTAGCAGATCAAAAACATGGAAATGTGAGTAGATTAATAGGTAAGACTTTGGTGGGAAGATAACAACATTCCACACATATTTCTGTGCTGGCCACATGACCATGGAAAATGTCTTCAGACAATCTGTGTCAGGCTTGCTTCCTTCAAAGTCCAGGAAAGAATGAGCCAAACTCCATATTTTATAGAGTAATGTACTTTTACTGGAAAATGAAATGAATGCAAACTAAGAAAGCTGAAACTGAAGCAAAAGGCGCGAAAGTTGCATATAGAAAGCATCCCCTCCCACTGTTCATCATCAATCACCCAATCCAAAGGTCTCCCAGAGGTCAGGTGGACACATGTCTGGCATCGTCATCAATCAGGAACGCGATGACGGTTTACCCGATAGCCACTTCGGTGCTTAGGTTTCATTTCTTCAATCCACCAGCTTGCTTCCCTCCCCCTCCTCTTTTCCCTCCCCCGTTTCTTATGGCAGCCAAAGCAGAAAGTCGGAGGCTGACATTCGGCCCCTCCAGGAAAAAGCTGGCTTCTGGCCAGCTCGATCTCCACATCCTCAGCTGCTATATACCAACTCTGCAAATCTTCGGGAACCCCCCGGCCTCTACAATCCTTGTATATCTCTTCATTCAGCCCATCTTTGAAACTCTCCAGTAGAGCCACTTCTGACCACCCTGTCATGTAGGGTGCCAGCTCGCGGAATTCTTGGGTATATTCTGCCACTGATCTCCAACCTTGCTGGATGCTTTTCATTCTAAGTCTCGCTTTCCGTTCGGCTAGGTGGTCTTCAAAACACCTCTTAAGAGCTCCCATGAATTGGTTGTAGTTTCTTAGCAAAGGGGAGTCATTATTGTGGAGGACCACCATCCATTCAGCTGCGACTCCCTCTAATACGCTGGTGACGCATCTCACTCGAGCAGCATCTGACAAATAGTCTTCCCCCCAATCTTGCATGTGGTTCCATACTTGAGTCAAAAAATAACCCAAGGTCTTAGGATTTCCATCATATTTCCCTGTTAGGGGGGAAATTTTTGATTTTTTACGTCTGCAGGGAGGAGCCTGCAAGGCTGGGGGTCCCTGACCTGTTGCATCCCTCATTCGAGCCTCCGAAGCCTGAGATATTCTTTCCTCAGCTTCCTCAACTTCTCCCCCACAAGGTGTTTCTTCCGACTTCCCTCTGGGGCCATCTCCTCCCTTCTCCACAGCGAACCCATAAAACTCACGGTTTTTCAGGCTTTCTTCAACATTACGGAGGAGTTGCGCTGCCTGTGCCAGCATGAGTTTCTCCTTTTCTTCCTGCAGCCACACTGCCTCCCCCTTACATGGTCTGGAGCTGGTTACACCCTGGGGGGTCTCTCCCCAGTCCGGCAGCCTCCCTACTCCTTTCGACCATCTGGTTTCCTCAGTCTCCTCTGGGAGTCGGAGTCTTCTCAACCATTCGGCAGTTTCTTCCTCTGTTTGAAATGGAGGCATCGCTGACCCTGATGCTCCCATTTGCATTTCCTCAGTTCCCTGATCTGACATGATCTGAGTTACAGTCCCCTCGGTGGTTTTCCGGGATGACTGAAGTGAGTTTCAGCTTAATGTCAGGCTTGCTTTCTTCAAAGTCCAGGAAAGAATGAGCCAAACTCCATATTTTATAGAGTAATGTACTTTTACTTTTACATTCCTAGCTGCGCATGCACGAGATGGCGGTTCCCCGAAGTGCCGGCTGAGATCGGGATGAAAGAGTTGCGACAGGAAACCGGGGGAAGGCCATTTTTTCCACTCATCGGCCCCCTGCCCGATATGCTGAGCCTTTGACAATTCAAATGAGCCGTCTCCGACAGAAGACAGCTCTCGGATGACCCAGGGACGGCGATGAGAGGATTGCATCAGCTGGGCGCCGCTGGGAGGGCAGCGTCAGCCCCTGCAATCGCGCTGAGGCCGTTGGAGTTTTACCGGCCGGATCGGCGCTATTAAACGCTGCAGACACTCAGCGATTTTACATCTAATCGGGGGAGGTTACAGGCGCTATGGCTGCTGTAAGATCGTTAGCCCCCCCCGATGAATCCGCTGAGGTTAAGGCAGCGGGTATTGTGGCAGCCTTGTCGATGGCGGTGAATGTCACACTGGAGATGAGAGGCCGGGAAGATCTGGGCTGTAACTGCCCAGCGAGGACAGGCTATGACTGCGGGGCAGATGGTCCTGAAGAAGATCTGGGGGGCAGGGAGTTGGCCGGAGGGGAAGTGATAATTATCCATCTTGCTCTTCCCTGGGGTCACACCGTAAAGTGTTACATCTTATCTTTTCACCTCTATTACTGCCTTATTGGTCTCGTTGTACTGGACAGAGTTATGGAGTTACAGACTGATGAACTATGAATCCTGGTGGACTGCTGCTGCATCATGTTCCTAGGAACTGCTCTATGACTCCGCCGGTGGATATTCCCCACCTAGTCACCGTGAGAGGGTGGCTGCGGCTGATTCCGCGGGACTCATTCGTTGCAGCCTTGGATTCTCCACCGCTGTGAGAGAGCGGTGGTTATGCCGGCCTGGGTTGACTCCTATTTTACCATCATTATCCCTCTTGTTTATCATCTCAGTTTCCTGTTGCTATTTTCCATCCACTTCTCATATTTATTATGGCTTACACTTCGGCGACCCTCCTTGCTCTGCGAGATGCCCCCCTCTCGCAGACATGGCCTTCGAATTTATCGAAGGCCTACCTCAAGGCCGGGTTTTGGAACCCCGAGTGGTGGCATGCTTCTAAGCGTGGTTTGAGGGGTTTTTTAATTAATGTTTTTAATCAAATTTTAAGGGGACCCGGGAGGCGGGTGGTAAGGGTTGAGCCGGGGGCGGCTCCTACGGTTCAGCAATTGGGCCCGTCGGATGGTTGTGGGGGGAGGGAGGGAGGAGGAGGGAACAAAGAGGCTCAGCGGAGAGAGGGTCTTCCAATCCTTGTGACAGCTGGGAGACGCAGAGGTCGGGAGAAGGGGGGGCTAGGAGGGCGCCGCCACTTCGTTCAAGCGGTGGCGTCCTCCTGCCCCCTCAGCTCATCCTGCTCCCCCGACGGCGACAGAGTGCGGAGCCCTGGACTTCGACTGGTGTACTTAAATGCCAGGTCCGTGGTGAACAAGACACTCCTCAACCGAGATCTTATAGACGAGGAGGACTCGGACCTGGCTTATATCACTGAGACCTGGCTGGGGCCAGAGGGCGGTGACCCTCTCGTGGATTTGTGTCCCCCAGGTTTCCGGATACTACACCAGCCACGACTCCAGGGGAGGGGCGGAGGAGTGGCGGTAGTTATTAAGGAAAGTCTTAGGCCTAGGGAGGTCACTGTTCCTCAGGTTGGTGGGTGTGAATCCCTCCTTTTGAAATGGGACCCTGGAGTTCAGTCTGGGCTGTTGACCCGATAGCCACTTCGGTGCTTAGGTTTCGTTTCTTCAATCCACCAGCTTGCTTCCCTCCCCCTCTTTTCCCTCCCCCATTTCTTATGGCAGCCAAAGCAGAAAGTCGGAGGCTGACAATCTGGTTCCTTTGGCCAAGAAACAAGAAATAGAAATGAGCACTAGGCCGTAGAGTTGGACACAATTAGATAGGGAAACCTCTCAATAAGGTAGATCTCTATATCTTATGCAACATCTCTCTCAATAAATAAACGTTGCATAAGATATAGAGATCTATCTGTCCCACCACATTCCCTCGGTCCTAACTTCACTGCAATCATGCACTGAAACTCACCACCATCACCAATTCTATGGGCAGCAACACCCCGTTCCTGAGGGCCTCACTCCGGGCTCTCTGCTTGACCCCTTACGTCAACATCGTCTTTCAGATATTTCTAATCTGCTTTGCCCAGAAGATGCAACAGCAGCGGGAGGGCTCGCCAGCTTCCGCGTGCCACGAGCTGAGTGGGCGGGGCTTACGCTGAGCTTGTCTTTTGCATGGCTCTGCTGCTTAGAGCTTTCATCCTACCTGCGGCCATTTGTCGAAGAGAGGCAGCGCGGACCTCCTGCACCAGCCATCAGCGTGGCGCGTCGCTTAGAAGCGAGGGAGACGCTCCCGTTGAATTGCAGCGCCAGCAGCGGAGGCGGGATGGAGGAGGAGGAGGAGGGTAAAAACAAAGACTCGGCGGCTTTTCTCGCTTAATCTTTTCTTACAGGATGCTTGAGTTTGGTTGTCGGCGAAGCTTCTCAGCCCTCCGCCCTCTTTTCGTGAGTGGGGGAAGCAAATTTCTGATCTCCAGCGAAGGAATCAGTGTCATGCCTAGGAGTGAGCTTACGCAGGGTGTCTTCCTTTCTCAGTGGTTTTGGTGAATTGCAACCCTGTCCCATTCCACTTTTGGGGATTTGAGAGAGAAATTCTTCGGGGGTGGGGAAGGGTGTTTTCCTTGCCGTGTTAATTCGTAGGCTCTGTATTGTCTCTTTACCCGGCTTCTGCCGTCCTTCTGCAGCCTGGTTCTGTGACGGGCATCCTCAGTAAATAATTTTGAATTTGGATGAGGGGGTGCCTAGCCCTTCACCAACTTTCAAAGGAATAAAACAAGCTTAAATAATTTATATTATCGCCACGGATTAACTTCACCGAATGCATGGAGCTCACCTGTTTTAAAGAAATCAACATCACACAATCCACCCATTTACTATTACAAAGCCCTAAGTCTTAAAAAAAAAACAAAATGAAAAATCATTAACTAACCCTCAGTTCACATTATCTACCCTATTAGTCTGTGTGGATATAATTGAACAGTAGTGTCTGTAAGCACTATAAAAGAACTGCAGGTTGTTTTTTATTATGAACATGGAATTGCTAATGCCATATAGAAATATGAATGTTTCAGAGTAAAAAAAAAAGTTGCCTATCTAACATAAACACAAGCACAAAATATTTGTACTTTGGAAACATATCTAAGAATAAAAACAATGCAGATTCTAAATTAAAGATAAAATAGAGAATAAAAAAGTGAAAAATAAAGAAAAATAGAAAAGAAAAATAATAGATAAGTGCCTTTTAATCTTCTTAACAACAGTTATAAGTAATTTATATTTTACTCTCTCTAAGGTTACATTAAAATTTCCCTATTATTATATCTACCTTTTCTAAACTATAAATCAGCAGTTCATTTTTTTCCCTTTTATTTTCAGAAAAAAGTCCATAAGTGATATTGTTTCTGTTTCTTTTATCAAAAATATCTTACCAGCTTTCTAGTCAGGCTATAGCCAGAAGACAATATGGACCAGAATTATCCAAGTTTTAAGTTCCCTCAAAGTGAAAAATCACCTCTTTTTGATTTTGTTAGCCATATAACTCCAAACCTCCAACCTTTCAGGTTATTGGCCTGGTAGTGGCTGGGTCTTGTCCTAAAGTATTGGGATTACACTCCAGTCTTGTACAGAATTGGGACTGCTATTGGCTTGAGCCAGTTGGTTTGTACATACGTAATATAACTTGAAGTTATGCTCTACATATGCTAAAGGCAATAAGTAAGTTTAAGGAAAAATACCACAATGTACTTCATTGAGTACAAATATTCTTATTTTACTACTCATCTGTAATGTGATAGACATAAGTTTTAAATATTATTAAAAAATATTAACATAGCAAGATGACATATATTACATTGTCCTTCCCTTCCTTTAACCACACTTACGAAAACTTTCTTAAGTAGACTGCACTGCCTTGGGGAAGTGATAAATCCCAGCTGACCCCATGAATTCTGAGAGGTCTCTCTGAAGCTTTTCTCGGTGTGTCTATAACCCTTCACAGTAAGATAGTGTATATACTTTCAGTGCTGCACAGGGAATGTTTGGGCACAGAGGCTACCATATTTCAAGCATTGCATGAATAAAGAAGCTAGATAAATTTCTGTGGACAGTTGACGGAGCTACAGTATGGGAAACTGCCCTGTGTTAAGCACGGACACCAGTGAATCTATCCAAAGTTAAGGGCAATCCTAGAAGGCAAATTGATCCTGGAATCTTCTGCTTACAAAGGTAGTATTCGGTCATTGACTTGTGATTCATTACTGATAAGTTTCTTACAAACATCAAGGACTCTTGATGTTACAAATTTTACTACGGCATTTTTACCAATTTGGTACATTTTTTCCATTTATTATGGCAAACTTTATAATACATTTTGTGTATTATATATAATTCATACTTGTCATAAATCCTTTTATGTTTTTGCTCATACAAGGTAATGCTGCCAATCTTCCAGCAAGGTTTGTATGTGTCCATGTTGTTTATATGAGGAATATATATTTTTTACCATATTGTTACTTTATGCTGTATGAAAAAATAATTGTTCTGTATTTTTTTCTTTCATATGCTACTACCAAGGACATCTTGGTGATCTGCAGTTTTTCAAGTTCATTTCTTAGTATCGCATAGTTTTCTAATACCTTATCTTGCCTTATTTTGAATGTAATATTTAATTAAGAGAATAAAAACATATGATAAATCAAAACATTTTAAGACATGATCTAATAACTCCTTAGGTTTCTTGAGTCTATACATCTAAGGTTAATGGAATATCAGGAGTCCTTCAGTTATAAGTGTAATGGAGCCTACCAACCATGATGGTAACTATTTATGCAGGCCAGATGCCAAGTACTCAAGTTGCAGTCACATGATAGGGGCTAACCATTGGAACTTAAATCCAGATTGTAAATCTCCCCGGGAGGTCTGTCATAACTTCAGATGGTTGTAAATTGAAGACCCGTATAGGCAATAGTAGGTTGACTCACACATACTCTCTAAATTAGAAACTTAGTTTACATAGAATAGCGAGATGAAATAAATGCATAACACAACACTTTATGCTTGTGACATATTGTCCCAAATATGCCAAAACTGATCAGTACTGTCTTTACTATTAGCATGTTGGGGCATGGATACAACTAAAGCTGGTAGTCTTGACTACATTGTCTCTATTTTATCTTACTAAAAAAGCATTGAAAGTCATGATAGTTAGGGGAGATTAGTATGTATAAGGCCATCTAATGATGACCATATGGAATACTAAGAATGTAAGAATATAAATGAAATGAAAGAAAATAGATATATAGTATAACTGTGAAATTAAGATGCTTAATTAATAAAAAATGCTTAATGGAATTAGGCAATAAATGAGTCTGTGGATAAGAAAAAGTACATGTAAAAGAGTATAGTTAAAAATTAAAAGAAAGATACTGTATATTGGACATAGAAAAAAAGTTGCAAAGAATCAATCAAAATGGTCAAGGCATGATTCATATTAAATGAAAGAAAATAGTGATTTTGTTTGGAATTTTTAAAAATGTTCTGAATGTTGGAAATAGGTGAAGACGGCTAAATAAGCCTGCAGCAGAGTGAATGGAATTAGAAATAAATACAATGATATAATTTGCAATGAAACTGAAGTGAGAGAATGCTGGAATTAAAATTTTGGAGAATGGAATGGCAACGATAGCAATATATCAAAGTAGAATCAGAACAGATGCTATAAATGTTACCCTCCCAAGGAAAAAAGATGACAAGGAAGTCACAAATACTACAAAATAATGAAAGATAGTACCCTGCAAGTATAGGTGGTATAACAATAGGAATATTAAAATATGGTGTTGGTTTGCTTAGGTAATAGATCTTTGTTTTGTGTATACCTAAACCTGATAATTACAAAAATGTTGTCATGGTTCTTTTGCAGAAAAGAAAAGATAATAAGAATGGATGTACTGTACAGTATATTCTATAGGGAGATTATTTTAAGTGGAAAAACATTAGACGGAGTTCTTATTGTATTGTACATTTGTTATTTAGAACAAATGTATGATAAAGCAAATGTGGAATGCTTTTCATTAATGTTTATTCATTAATAACATTTATGAAAACTTTAAAAATAGAGGCACAAGAAGCATAAAACCAAAAAGCAAACAAAATAAAATAACCAGTGTGTGAATGTAGTGAAAGCAAGGGTACTTTAAACAATAGAACATAATGGAAAGGCATTATTATTTAGCTATACTTTATTTTATTCTATTTTATTAACTAATACTTTTCTTTGGGTAACTATTTCTTATACCCTTTCTGTACTTTGAAAAACATTGCTTAAGGAAATGAGAAAAGAATGCCTATGGGAGGGTATGTTTGTATGTATTCACACACACACATATATATTTGCGTGTGCAAATATAGGGCTGCATTAAATTTGAGGTTTGTGTATATTTTTCTTACATAACTTCTAAGGAAGCTAAGGAAAGACAATAAAAATACATTTTTCTGACATATTAAAATAAATGCTAAATATGTTGGAGAGATTTTTTGAGAGAAATGCTTGACTAGAAATTAGTACCTACCATGCCTTGACAAACTTCACAAGAAAAGCAAAATCAAACCAAGTTTGTATTTGGATGAGACCTAGTCAAGAAAGTAGGTTAGACTGTAAAGTAGGGGAAAATTGTTAAGAAAAATGGTCAGCTGTGCCCATGATTTCATCAGAGCACTTTACTTTGAATGAAATAAATGTATTAATGTATTATGATTTGCTATACTATCTACTTAAAAGGAATGTGTAATCTTAAATAAAATAACTGAAGTTGAGTGCTATTAAAATGACTAAAATGTATACTTTCACTAATATTTTTCAAAAGAAAACTAACCTAAGTGACAGCTTCCCAATAGTATTTTCAAATAACTTATGTGCTATAATTTGTAATAAATTGCCATGGAAACCAAGTTTAAAGCTATCTTAGCATAATGAATTAAACTAATTTTATAGATCTATGAATCTGATCCTTAATATTTTCATTTTAGTTTGCAAGTAGGTAATAAAAAGAATAGAAAGATGAAAAATGATTGTTGTCCTAACTGTACTATTTTACACCAGTTTTTGGGACAGAGTTGCTTGAAATAATTTATAGCCATCATAATTTGCTCTTGTTTAAAAAAATTAATACTAGAAATATTAAATATAATCAATGTTTGTTTGAGGTAGTGTAGGGTTTCCTGCCTAAGCAGGGGGCTGGACTAGAAGACCTCCAAGGTCCCTTCCCTTCTGTTATTCTTTTATTCTTTTTCATTTGTTCTGATAGAAATATTGTTCATAAGTCTTAATATGTATAAAAATAAGTAGTAG